ACTGTCAACGAATAATAAACATGACATCGCATTTACTGAACAACGGCTCTGGGTTTGTTTGAGAGGCTGCAGTACATTTATGGCAAGAAGCGCTAGGAAAAAAAACTTGAATTTTTTTAACTTTGGAGCTCAGAAATTTCCTGTTTTTTGTTTTTTTTTTCTTTTCTGAGACTGATCTAAAAGTCTTTGATTCTTTTCCTGCAAATTTATGACTTTTCAAACTCAGAAATTTTAAAGGTTTTGTAGAAAATGTCTTGAATGAATCTCCGATTTTTTTTCCTTGCAAATTTTTGATTACTGGAACTGAGACATTTCTGATATTTTTTTAAAATATAAAAAAAATGAGTTATTTCTCCTGCAAATGTATTTATGTTTCATACTCAAAAATATTAGATTTTCTAGAAAATTTCTGAGATTAATCTCTTAATTTTAGTTTTTTTTAGGCGGAAAGTTATTCTTTTGTTTAGTTTTGAATTTACAGTTCTCTCCGTCGCAGTTGGGACGTGGTGTTCACATGACGCGGTTCCCTGGTGGAGGGGGTAGAAGAGGAGGTGAAGGAGGAGGAGGAGGTGAAGTCTGGAGGTTTCAGACGCACCGCAGGAGGAGGACATTCCGGTAGCATAGTCAATCATCGGACGGGTCGCTGCTTCCGTGGCCGTGGAGTGGGCGGGCCCACGGCCAGTGTTCGTGCTTGGTGCACACATGTCATAACTGACGGCGATCCGTGTTTCGAGGCTCCGCAGGACGGAACCGGACCCGGGAAGGATGCTCCGCTTCCAGCGTCCGCACGGTAATCAGCACCGACCTGCTGCGTGATTACCGCTCAGGTTGTTTTCATTCATTCATTCATTCATTCATTCGGTCCCGAGGAAAAGAGGTGAAATCCACGGCGCGCGACCTTGTGACGCAAACGGATCAAAGATCCACTATTGAGCTGAAGATGCTCGGGTGTTTCTTTGTTTATTATCTTGGTTGGAGTCTCGAGCTGTTTTACCGGAAACACTCGCGGCTCGCGCGTGGCGGGCTGGCAGGTGCGTGGGCGTGGTGACAGTCCAGGGGTCCATCATGAAGGAAGGGGTCATTGTATTGTGGGGCTTCAGCGTCATAAACAAAGCGCCCCCGCCCCGCCGCGCTCCGCCCCCACATGGAGGAACAACAACAAGCCGCTTTAAAATCCTCAGAGAAGAAGAAGAAGAAGCTGCAACATAAAAGTTATTGTTACTCATTTTGATTTGCTTAGTTCTGCTGGGAAGAATGTTCTGGTTAACAGAACAAAAACGCCTCCGGTAGAATTTATCCCAGAAAAAAAGTCTAATGAGTTTTCTAATGAGTGCCGTTTGTAAAGTTTTCATCATGTTATTCACTCATTAATGTCACAGATTCCAACAAGTCGAATTAAAATAAATAGCTTCAAACTAAATATTTAGTTAGCAAGCTAATTATTTAGTTTACCACCAAAATATTTAAGGTGCAAGCTAGCTACAAACTGAACATTTAGCTCTGAGCTAGCTAAATATTTAGCTAAAATGCAAATTCACTTGCCAATAAGCGGAAGTGGACTATCAAAATAAAAGCTGTGACAGTCACTATTTCAAACTAATTATTTAATAGCCCAATTTAGCTAAAAATGTTGTTTCTAACCTAACTATTTAGAGTGCAAGCTAAGCTATTTAGTTTACCAACAAATAATTTAGCTCCAATTTAAATCTTAAGCTCCTAACTAGATATTTAGTTAGCAAGCTAAATTTCTAGCTGCTTAAATTTTAATATTTAAACTTTGTAAATATTAGCTAACTTAATATTTAGTAACAAACTAAATATTTAGCTCCACTTAAATATGTCTGAACTATATATTTAACTATTTGTCTTGCTAAGTACATTTTTATTTTGAACGTAAATATTTAGCTTGAAAATTTTTTAGTTAGCAAGCCAAATAATTAGTTTAAAGCTCAGTATATAGCCCAGAGCTATTTAGTTTGAAGATAAATATTTAGCTTGCTAACTAAATATTTAGTTTAAATTGTGACATTTATATATGAATCCCCATTTTAAAAAAACTTTTATTAAAGGCTAAATAACCCAAATTATTGCTGGGGGTTAGGGTCATGTCATGGCACCTCGTAGTTTTCTTGGCACCTTTTCCTTTTTCGGCATGTCAGGCATACCGTATAGAGGAGCTGGTTGTTTTCAGGGAAGATTTTCTCTACATGAATTAAATCTGTGGATGGTATCCTGATTGTCATTAGCTTTATCAAAACAAGATTGATTCTGCCATCAAAGTGTACTGGCCACATTGATTTACAAATATTTCTTTGGCATTTATCTAGAGAAAAGCACTAATAGCGAGTAGGCTGGTCTCTGACAACAGCAGTGAGCAAATTCCATTGATTTTCCACTTTGACATTTGGTTCCTCCAAGTATTGACGTTTCATGTCTCTTTTAATTATTCTTTCTCTTGGGGTTTGAAAGAAGGATTATTATTCTCCACAGAAATGTTGGGGGAAAGAGACAAAAACTGAGACTGATCAAAGAAACAGTCAAACAGCCACTGTTTTTCTTCTGCTCATCTGTGTTATGTTGCTAAATTAGTTTCTATATTTGGATCCTAGTAAGAAGATAATATTTTTTGTACAGTTTTGGCTTAATTACTGCACTGAGTGTGTTATTCTTCCAGCAAATGGCCTTTTGTCTGAGTCTGTCAACGATTAATCAATTACTGGATTAGTTGGTGGTTATTTCAATAATCAATTAATCACGATTGATCGATTCAGCCTTATCTTCAAAAAGCATGTAGAGCTTCCTGCTGTCGGCCCATCAGGATTCCCACAGAACGTCCACTTCCTGTCCTGCAGGTCAAAGTGTAGCGTTGTGCTGACTGGACGTTATTCTGTGACAAACAGACGAACCGACCAATCACAGCGAGGCAAACAGGTAGCTCCTCCCATATCGTGAGAAAGTTCAAACTGCACGTTTAACTGGGAAGCTCCCTGCTGTTAAACACACACCGACTCTGAGACGACACCAAGACACACACACACACACACACACACGGCGGAGTCATGTCCCAGAACCGAGCGACGCTCACCAGAACCCCCCTGGAGAAAACCTGGGTTCCCTGGATGGGAAGCAGACTGAGCAAACGCAGAGGCTGTGAGTAGACAGAACCAGCGGTTCTGGTTCTGACCCGGTGTGGGTTTCTGTGTTTCTGTTTTTGAGGAGTGTGAGACTTTAAGCTGTGCTTAATGACTCTGAGTTTGGATGGTTTCTTATTTTGGAAACATGGAGAAGTCCTGATGGCCGTTCACCCCAAAGGGTCACGGGGGTCAGCATGGAGTCACCATGGCAACCAGCCATCTCTTCCATCAATCATAATGTGAAATCTTTGGCAGCCGGATGACCTTCAACCCCTGAACTTTGTTTAATTTCCCTTTGGGATCAATAAAGTATCTTCTTTTCTTCTGGTTGTGTTTAACTTGTTTCAGCTTCGGTTCCCCAGTTCACCAATTCCCCGACCATGATAGTGATGGTCGGCCTGCCGGCTCGGGGAAAAACCTACATCTCCAAGAAGCTCACCAGGTACCTGAACTGGATCGGGGTGTCGACCAAAGGTACTCATCCTCCTGCCTGGGGTCCAACTCGGTTTACATTTTACCGCCTCCAGCACTGCTGTAGCGTTTTCCTTCAGCCACTGAAAACCCATTTTCCTTAATTATTACTTTTGGCCCCTGATGTCTGTCATCTGGATTTCAGCTGGCAGAAGGAGCAAATTTTCAAATTTTTGGAGATTTTCTGAATTTCAAAAGTTGAAAATGTTCAACTTTTAGGGTTAGGATTTCCAGTTTATTTTTCAAGAAGTGTTTTGTTGGAAATGTTCAACTTTTTGAACTAAAATTTTTTTTTTCCTTTTTTTTTCTTAGAAAATTTATAAGATTAATCTGAAAATTCTTGAGGTTTTTCTTGGAAATTTTAGATCTTTTGAAATTGGAAATTTTTTACCTTTTTATAGAAAATTTCTGAAATTAACCTAAAACAGTTTTGAGTTTTTTTTCACGAATATCTCCGATTTAAGAAACATAGAAATTTTTTATAGAAAATTTTTTTATGTTAATCAAAAAGTTTTGGTTTTTTTCTTGCAAATTTTTTTTAGGTTTTTCTTACTTTTTTATTGAATAATTTAGCAGCATAAATATTTATGAATTGTACTTCTTTTATCGATATTGTTTTCCATTCAAGTGCAATTAATTGATTAAACATATTAAAATCCTTGTGTAACTTTATTTGTTGTTTTTTTAGTGTTTAACGTGGGGCAGTACAGAAGAGAAGCAACCCGCTCCTACAACAGCTACGAGTTCTTTAAACCCGACAACGCAGAAGCCATGAAGATACGCAAGTACGACCATCACGCAGAAAACAGATTAAAGAAAATATTAATCCCAAAATTATCATCACATTTAATAAAATCTCCAATTTGTGAGGATTCAGCTGAAATCCCACCGATTACTCAAACATTTATCAACGGCCTGAAATGTCATCATGTTTTATCTATATTTAATTTCTTTATGTTGTTTCTTAATGGGTTTTCTTTATATATTTTTTTATGTTTTTATATTGTTTTTTAGGGTTTTTAAATATTTTTTTATTTTATTTCGTAATGTTTTTCACATTGTTTTTAATGTTTTGTGTTTACTTGCAGCGCCTGCGTGAACACGGCCCTGCAGGATGTGTGTGACTACCTGACCAGAGACCAAGGTCAGGTCGCGGTGAGTTCAGGTCAAAGGTTATCCAAAGCTGCAGCTTGAAACAGGAGCAATTTAAAGACAGGACGCAAATGTGGAGGAAGTTCACCTCAAACCGAGCCTCCGAACGACTTTTTTATTTGTTTAAATGACCCAAATAATTGAATTATCAGACATTCTTCTGGTTAATGGACGATAAATGTTTTGTAAATGTTTATTAATGTTGATCTTGAAAACATTTAAACGTAGTTAACGTCATATTTAACTGCGTGATAAAAGTCCTGATTTTGCTCCGCCAGGTTTTCGATGCCACCAACACGACACCGGAGCGCAGAGAGGTCATCCTCAACTTCGGCAAAGAAAATGGTTACAAAGTTGGTTTTTAATTTGCTTTCCTGCTGTAAAACGTAGAAATCTGTCAGAAACATAAAGCTACAGTGTCCATCTTCTCCCTGGTTCAGGTTTTCTTTGTGGAGTCGATTTGCGACGATCCCGAAATAATTGCTGAGAATATTAAAGTAAGTTACTGTGATTTAAGATTTCACTGCGATAAACAATAATATTGTTGTTTTGGGACATATTTGGTGGTAAAGTTGTGATAATAACTAAAAAAACAATTATTACTTCATTAGGTAATTGTGTGGCATGATACAGTGTTTATGCTTGAAAAACATGACAATCTGAAATAAGCTTCACTTAAATGTGATTTATTTCATTACAATAATTCATAATTCTTTTGAATTTCCTGATATTCATTGATGCTCTTGTTATTAGTGAATAGTAAAAGTATATTTGTTTTTTTATTCAATATTATTAATGGGAATTTATCAAGAAAAATCAGAATTCTTATCATAATAAATTTTTCCCAATAGTTAAAAGATGCGATAAATTCCCGCTCCCATTTTCAAGTAATATAGTATTAATGTCATCGTAAAGACTAATAAACCTTAACTTTGCTTAAATATCCAAAACACAAGCAAAAATAGGAAAGACAATAAAAACCAGACAACCAAAACCATAAATAAAATAGATTATGAAGTTTATAATCAAAAATATTAATCATCAGATTGGAAATTATCGAGCTAATTTTAATTTATCATGTGATTAACTGATTATTTACTTGCCTCACTCACTAAAGTTGTTTTTTTGTATACAGCAAGTGAAGCTGTCGAGTCCCGACTACGTAGACTGTGACAAAGAAGAAGCTGTTGCAGATTTCCTGAAGAGGATCGAGTGTTACAAGATGACCTACGTTCCCCTGGACGACAGCAAGGACCGGTAACCGATACCGATACTGCTACCGATACCGATGCTGCTACCGATACTGCTAGCTAAATCAGGCTAAATATTCAGCTCCTTAAATAGCTTGAAGCTAAATATTTAAGTAAAAAAGTAAAAAACAAAAAAGTTATGAATATTTAAAGGCTAAATATTCATAATAATAGCTTCAATAAATATTCATTGAAGCTAAACATTTATATGCTAAATATTTAGCTTACTAACAAAATATTTAGGTTAGTTAGCAGGCTAAATATTTAGCAGGTAAACTAAATTTGCAAACTGAATATTTAACTAGCGTAGAGATAAATATCTAACTTGGAGCTAAATATAAGGCTGTATGACTATATATTTAGTTGGTAAACTACATATCTATCTATGTCTCTCTATATAGATATGTAGTTTATATTGTATTTAGTTTGGAGCTAAATATTTAGTTGTAAACTATATATGTAGCTTGCCAATTAAATACTTAGTTTAAACATTTAAGATTAATGAATAATGTTGTTAAAATATTAGTTTAATAAATTAACAATTTTTTCTCTAAATGATCCAAATTATAGATGTTGTTGTTTTACCGTATCTTCACTAATGTTGCTCCATACTAAAGGCTAAATGATATAAATGGATGGAGGCTTCATGTGTTTAGTTACCGCCCGTCTCCCCGTTTCTCTCCACAGGAGTTTATCGTACATTAAAATCTTCAACGTGGGCAGCCGGTACCTGGTGAACCGGGTCCAGGACCACATCCAGAGCCGGATCGTCTACTACCTCATGAACATCCACGTCACGCCCCGGTCCATCTATCTGTCGCGGCACGGCGAGAGCGAGCTCAACCTGGTGGGGCGCATCGGGGGAGACTCCGGCCTGTCACACCGGGGGGCAAAGGTCAGGCCAGCGGCGCTAATGAACATTTTACCAAACAGAACCAGAGTCCAAGTTTAAGATGATCCGTTTGAGACAAAAGCTTAGGTCAAAGGTGAATCCTGTCATGCTGGATGCTGATGTTTATGTTTGCAGCAGCAGCAGCACTCCTAGTTTCACTGCAGAGCAAAGTCCAGCGATTACGAAATCAGTCAGATAGCAAAACAACTCGGACACAAATCCATCAATAATCGATAAAACAAAACATGCAGGTAGAACTCCGATAAGAGCTCTTTAAATTATTAATAGAATAGAATAGAATAGAATCAGCCTTTATTCAGGTATTGGATGTAAAGGTTCAAATAAATAAATAAAAATTTACCTATATTTATTTTACAAGATATGTAATTGATAAACAACTAAATATGTAGCTTCAAACTAAATATTTATTTTACCAGCTACATTTTGATTTTGTAAATAAATATTTAACTGAATATTTAGCTGTAAATATAAATATTTAGTTGCTGAGCTAATATTTAGTTTTGTACCTAAGCATTAGATTATGAACTAAATATTTAGTTTACAATGTAAGTATTTAACTTACCAATTAATTATGTACCTCCATGCTAAAGTTAGTATACCAACCAAATTTTTAGTTTGTAATTAAATAAAAATTAGCTAAGAAGCTCAACAGTTAGTTTACCAACTAATTATGTAGCTTCAAACTAGATACTTAGTTTATCAACTCAATTCTAGTTGGAAAATACAGAAATATTTAGCTAAACGTTTAGCTAGGAAGCTAAATTTTTAATTGCTAAACTAAATATTTATATTATTTGTAAACTAAATATTTAGCTTACCAACTAATTATGTATCTCCAAACTAAATACTTAGTTTACAAAATACATTTTTAGTTAGTAATTAAATACATATTTAGCTAGGAAGAGAAATATTTAGTTGCTAAATTAAAGGTTTAGTTTAGCACCTAAATATTTAATGGAGGAATAATTCAGAGTGTAAATCGAGTTTAGTTTTAGTTTCTGCGTCTCACTGCTCTCTCTGTCGTCCGCCCGTCAGTTTGCCGCCGCCCTGGGCGCCTACATGCGCGGGCAGAGCATCAGCGACCTGAAGGTTTGGACGAGCCACATGAAGAGAACCATCCAGACCGCCGAGGCGCTGGGGGTCCAGTACGAGCAGTGGAAGGCCCTGAACGAGATCGACGCTGTGAGCCTCAAACTGAGCCGCCGCCGCATTTCATAAACATGGTTCAAACTCTGATGTGATTCCAACGGTTCCTCCTCATTAACCCAGCAGATACAGCAGAACACATTCATGTTGTCATTCTCTGATCAGGGAGTCTGTGAGGAAATGACTTATGAGGAGATTCAGGAGCATTACCCAGAGGAGTTCGCCCTGAGGGATCAGGACAAATATCGGTACCGGTACCCCAAAGGAGAGGTGAGTCTGAAAAAAGGTACGGCAAGCCCAAAACGTCTCCCAGATTATTCACAAATCCAGAGTAAAGAGGTTTGTGTTAACGCCAGCAGGAAAGGCAGAGAAGCAGCTGATGCTGGAAAAGTTAAAAGGCCGTTTCCAAAACTTCTGAACTTCAGAGGAAAAAGATCCGTGGCATTTAGGATAATCAGGGTTTAAAAATAATTCAGACACTCCCACAAAGTATGAGTAATAATCAGTCCGTCCACAAAAAACTCTCCTCATTTGTAGCTTCATTAGTTTCTGCAGGAAGTGAAGAATCTGCGTCTATAAAGAGGCTTTAGGTGGAAAAGAGAAAAAACAGAAGAACAAAAGGGAAGGACGGGTTGTGCTGTGGTGGCCCAGGCCTCCAGCCCACATATGGAGGCCTTAGTCCTCACCGTCACAGGTTCGATTCCCAGCCAGGCAACCTTTGCCTTTCTCTCATTACCAACTTTCCTGTCAATTAACTATCAAATAAAAGCCACTAGAGCCAATAAAACCTAAAAAAAGAAGGATAAAGAGAAAAAAGAAAGAATTTTTTTTTAACAGGAAAAATGGGGGAGAAATAGAAAAATTTGAAAAACAAAGGTGGAAAAATAAAAAATCCTATATTAGTTTCATCTACAGATTTGTAGATTAGCCTCCATTCATAGACTTTAATATCTATTAATGTGAAAGGTTTGTTTTCATAAATACTGATTTTAATAATTTCATATTCCAGAGCAGAAATTAGCTCTGGAATATGAAAACATTTACTGCCGATCAAAACTGCCTTTATACATCAGGACCAGTGACAATATGACTGTTATTTCAGGAAGCCGATCCAGTGACGCGTCTAGTTGACTCACTGCATTCTGATCCTGTACAGAATGACAATAATGTCAAAAAAAGACTTTAAGTCTGACATCCTTTCTGCGAACTGGAGTTGCTGTCTCGGCCTGACAGTAATGAGAACGTTGATCATTGGTGTGTTTAACCCTGTAAATCTGACCTGTTTGACCTTTGCCCTCTAGTCGTATGAGGACCTGGTCCAGCGTCTGGAGCCCGTCATCATGGAGCTGGAGAGGCAGGAGAACGTCCTGGTCATCTGTCATCAGGCAGTCATGAGATGTCTGCTGGCCTACTTCCTGGACAAGAGTGCAAGTGAGGAAAAAAACATCTTTATTTGACCAAAAATATTCCACTGGCTGCGTTTCCATTAGCCATAAAACTGCACAAAATTATGAAAATAAATCAGCTTAAAGCTGCAGTACCTAACTTTCATCAAGATGTTTTGAACATTTTTGTTAAATCTGTCAGCATGTTGTGGCAGTTCATGAGACAGATAATTGTCCTCCTTGACCTGTTACTGTGTCTGAAGAAATGAACCAAAAACAACCAATCAGAGCCAGGAGGCGGGACTTAGCGCTGTCAATCAACCTGATTTACAATTTGATACATGTGCTAATGGTGAAGAAACAACTTTCCGTGACAGAAAAATTGTTTGCCATAATTGGTGGCTATGTGAACCAGCTTAGTGTTCACAACATGCTAGCTGCAGCATAGCAGAGAGCAAGCTAAGACCCGCCTCCTGGCTCTGATTGGTTGTTTCTAATTGGTAGTGGGAGAAGCCAGAGGAGCTAAACTTTTTCAAGGATTATCTGTGAAATCTATCACAACATGGTGACAGTTTCAACAAATGTATGAAAAAACTATTTTTGATCACTTTTACATGCTGCAGCTTTTAATGGAAACACACCAATTTCCCCAAAATGTCACAAACGTAGCCACTCCCACTAGCTGCAGCATAGCAGAGAGCAAGCTAAGTACGTAGCCACTCCCACGTAGGGGGGAGCGACAAGCTCCCCCCTACGTGCAAATTTATGACTTTTAACATACACAAATGAAAATTTAACACGTACACAACACACAGCCAACATGTTGAGTACATGTTAAATCACATATATTTGAGCAGGATGGCTTCCCATATCGCTCCAATGCCTGAATATATCTGATGTAGCTGTTTACATCTGTCGCTGCCATGATTTTTTATGACTTATTGAAAAGTCATTAATAAGTCATGTCCAATAAATAACCCTTTATTTATTGGACATTAGCAGAATATAGTGAAACGCAGCTGGTGTGTTTCTGATGCAGTAACTCGTGTTTCTGTGCCAGGCGAGCTGCCCTACCTGAAGTGTCCTCTGCACACCGTCCTGAAGCTCACGCCGGTCGCCTACGGTCCGTTCCTGCTATCAGCCTCAGAACAAGCTGCTCTGGATCTGAATCTGCTGTTTGTCTGTGACACATTTCACCACTTCTGTTTTGTTTCCCCTCAGGGTGTAAAGTTGAGTCTGTGTTTCTCAACATTGAAGCTGTGAACACACACAGAGACCGGCCGGAGGTAAAGTCCCTGCAGTCTGTTGGTTTATGGCGGCTTAGACAGCGATAACACGCAGAAACAGATGAAGGTTTTCAGACCTGCCTTGGTGATCTGATAAGAGGACTCATGATTTTAGAGTAAATATTAAATTTTCCCATATAACTACTGCTAAAACAGGCCAGCAACCAGAGGAAATGGTCTGGTTTAGACACCAGCTGCGTTTCCATTATAAATGTACACAAAACTTTGTAAATATTCCACTAATGTTGAAAAAAAATCACAATTTCACGTTGGTGGTGTTTCTGTTAAATAAGAGAAGCAATTAAAATCACACATGAATGAGCTTGTTCACGCGATAAATCATTAAGACGTGCTTCACCATCTTCCTCCAACCACTTCCTGTTTTCTTCTTCATGGCTTACGCCAGTAGCAACATCCGGCTGTTGATCATGTGGCTCGTGTGAGGAAAAAAAAGTCTTTCTATTGCAGTTTTGCAAAATAAACAAATTTCAATTCAGCCAAAAAAAAACAAAAAACCACCTGATCTTGTTTTTAATCAAAAAACAAGATTTTTCAAAATTACGCAAATTTATTATTGAAACGTCAAATTGCACAATTATACGGTCAATGGAAACGCAACTACTGGATTTGTTTCCACACTAAAATGTTTCAGATCATCAAAAATCACCTGAGGAAATACCTGAGCAGTTTTCAAAAGATTATTTCATTTACTCAGGAGAAAAAAATATTATCCAAGCCAGCCTGGCACTATGAGGAAAAGCTTTTTGCGATTCTGTGATTGGGAAAATTGTAGGCAGTAAATTGTTTGAACAAACAGCTTGAGTTTGTTTTTCTCAGAATGTGGAAGTGGACAGAGACCCGGAGGAGGCGCTGGAGACGGTACCTGAACACATTTAGAGGACGCCTCAGCTCAACGTCCGTCCCGTCCAGAGAAGACGTCTTATTTTAATTTATCTAATCCTTGTTTTTAGAAAACTGAGAGCTTACTGACAATGAAAGGTTTCTTCAATGGCATCTTAATTCCACTGTTAGTGCACTTTATCTAGAAGGGTCCAGGTTGAAAACAACTTTTAAAAAGTGAAGAACTGAAAACGACCTTCAGGACTGTTCAACAGTCCTTAATCTCTGTTTCACACTGCTTTACTTCATCCTGTGCTGTTCCTTCAACTCTTGTAATTTCATGTAGACAGCAATAATAGCGGAGACGTCGTGCCGCCATGTTTTAGTGGTAGTTTTAGATTTGAGAAGTGATGTTCATTGATTTACGCAAAGGGCTTCATTCCCTCATCAGCACATTATTCAGCTCAGCAGAGACGTTGGTAACAAACTGTATTCATAGCACAGACAAAAGAAAAAACCAAAGTCACCACCTGTAGATTAAATTCAGCTACCATCACATTTCCAGGAACTTTGTAACTGACAGCCATCTTGGTAGGCAGTTGCTATGACAACGGTAAACAAGCCACAAGCTTATAACTAGTTCTTGGGTTCCTTCCTGAAACAATGTAAGTACATTACAACTATTACTTGATTACAGTTTTTGAGTACTCTACCCATCTCTGCGTAATACTGACATAAATATCAGTGATATTTACTGTGGTACTTACTGCCGAACTAGCTAAATTAGCTTAGCTAATGTAGCTTTTATCTGCTAGCTAAGACACTAAAAGATTCTGTTTACGAAGGTGTCAGCGCCTTAAAATGTATTCAGTTCCTACAAAAAGGTAAGTTGGTCCTAAATACGTTAATCACATGTCTTACAATTTTTCGTGGCAAAGTCATTTAACTAAATACAGTGGTGGAAAGTAACGAAGTACAAGTACTTCGTTACTGTACTTAAGTACAGT